CTTGTTTACTCTCGTCGCCAAATGTAGCAAAGGGTTCACAACACTCGCGTGCCAGTAATTCCCTTTATTTTGTGTTTATATAATAAGTATATATACTGAGTGACCAAAAAAGGTAAACACCTACGTACAAAAATCTGCAATCGAAGTTGGACATACCTTCTTCATTTTCTGGCCTCCCAAAATACTGAACTGCAACGCCGCATTAGCGCCTAAGGTGGTTGAGCAGGTAGTGGCGAAATGATATGGACCATAGAAGAGTAGCGTCACTCCGTCGTTGAAACAGTTTTTGGCGAGGTGTCTGAAGTTACATTGTGGTATACCAAATCCTACATGCAGTTAAACTGTGATGTCTGTGATATAGCAGCTAGTCAGGAGGAAGGTAAACATCCAGGAATGAAGGTCACCTGAAGGTAGTTGACCGCAAAACACCGGATTGTTTTACGCGTTGCGAAACTAGCAGGAAGTGGGGTGCTAATATTTCGATGCTCCGCTAATGATGTAAAGGTGACTATTGTTATTCTAACATATTTGGAATTTGAGGCATCGTCGCTTAAGTTGTAACACCACTAAACGCAAAGAATAACTTACGTATTTGCTTAAAAAAGCCACCGTGAATGCCGGAATGTCATCAGTAGGCACTATTAGCTTATGAGGTTTCATTTGCGACTAGACAAACATGGAGGATTATAAGATCATTCGATAGCGACTTCAAAGGCCCACCGTTCTTTTATGCTCTCCTAAAAAGTTGCTAGTTTAAAGTTACATCGTGCTGGAACTCTTTATTGAACAACTAAATTTTTGTGATTCATGACTGGGTAGTACCAAAAAGAAGAAAATACGATACAAATTTGTTATTTAGTTTTGCATTCTACGTCAATGATTATTGCCAAACAATTCCAAAGATCCAAAGTAGATCGTTCAAGTGTATTGCGAGAAAATAAATGTGATGTTCCATTTCTTTATTTAATTTTATACTCTTCAGTCTACATTATTCATGTTCCCTAAGAAATAAATACGAACATACAAAAAACAAAGTGATTGTGATTGCACACAGTTTGGAAAATCTGCTTTCTTTTCTGGTTACTAAGTTTAGCGCTCTTACACTCATTTTAAACCTTTATCTATAATTGATTGCTCGGACATTATACCTTCCAGTATCAATCCTGCTTTTTAGCCCGTCTACGGTGCTAATACAACGTTGCAATTCGGTATTTTTGGAGGCCAGAAGATGCAAGAGGTATGCGCAAGTTGGATGGCTCATCTTTGTACAAAGAATTAGCTGCATCTGGAACTCTACTTAAACGCATAAATTTCAAAAATTCATTGATATGCATAAGTCGGTCAACGTCACAACTACAAACGAGCACGAAAATGTTTTACAGTTCTTAATAAGGGGAACGAACTGCTGTGTGGTTTTACAATTAGCAGGGTCATTGAGAAGGTAAAAATGCCTTCCTCGAGCTATTTATACGATACAAGTTTGTCGAACAACTCGTTTCCGATGCTATGAGGATGGTCATTGAGAGGACTTGGAATTTAAACACCCCCGTCCCTTACCTCACCGGCCCTTACCACACCGCACCACCATGGGTTCCGTCGAGCCATTTACCTGAGGAGAGTTAGATTACGTTACTGCACAGGTATATACAAGAGTTTAGGTAGTCTACAAAAAATATCGCACCACACACGGTGATTGAGAGGGGAACAATGGATTACATCGCCCGTCGACTCCACATTTCTATTAAACGAGACGTTTTCGATGCTATGAGGATGGTCATTGAGAGGATTTGGAATTTAAACACCCCCGTACCTTACCTCACCGCCCCCTTCCCACACCACACTACGATGGGTGCCGTCGAGCTATTACTGAGCAGTTACGTTACTGCACAGGTGCTACTATACAATAGGCTATTGATCGGGGACCGAAGCGTCAAGAGGGTTTACAATTAGAATGGTCATTGAGAGGGCGAGAATGCGTTCCATCGAGCTATTTATACGATACAAATTTGTCGAACAACACGTTTTCGATGCTAACAGGATTGTTATTGAGAGGAGTCGGAATTTAAACACTCCCCGCCCCTTACCCCACCGCACACGACGATTGAGAGGGCAAAGAATAGTCATATCATCGGATTAGGGTACAGGGATGACGAGATTGAAGTGGGAAAAGAGCGCTGCTGCTCGTTCGCCCGGTCAATGAGTTATAGTAGTGGGGGGAGGGAGGTGGGGAGGGGGGACACTCCGTCGACTCATTTCTATTAAACAGCACGTTTTCAATGCTATGAGGATGGTCATTGGGAGGACTCGGAATTTAAACACACCCCGCCCCTTACCCCACTACACAAACCACCCCTTCACCCCCCCGGGAGGCAACAGAACCGGCGACCACCCCGGGAGGCAAGAGAACCGGCGAATCACCCCTACTGACATCCCTCGTATATATCATTCAGTTCTATTGATTCTAATGGGCCTTAGATATATATTTTTCCACAGTACGATATCAAAATTTTGATAGATTCCGGCTCAAGTGGATCTTTTATACACACCGCTGTGAAGTTGGCAGAGATTGCGTTCACATTTTTTCCAAATCAGCTTATGGAGGAACCCTTCACTGTCTCAAGTATATTCCACAGATCAACTCACAAGTTTAGTGCTTTAATACCAGCATACAAAATTTTCAACTTGCCTCATCCAAATAAATTGAAATTTCTCCTATTCAAGTTCCACGATGTTTTCAATGGTTCAATTGGTACTGATAATCTCATAGAATTAAAGGCCGCCCTATACCTTGGAGATGGCTATCTTGTTACACCCTTTGCAAGAATCAAGTTACTTTACTTAAACGTTAAGGACAATTTCTGTTTTCTGTTGAGCCACACACAATGTGGATCGATGAAACAAAGACATCAGTATGTGAAGGTCAATTTTAGACAATTGTAACATGATCACAGACGGCAATGTCGTGGTACTGAGGCAAGTGGCACCGAGGCCGGCCGGCGATTGAAAGACGACAGCAACGTCAGAGAGACAGCAGATGTGTCAAGCGGGATATTATTCGTATTATTTGTCCATATGTTAGTTTGTTAGTTAGTTATTAATTATAGTTAATCGTTGTTATACTGAGTGACAAAAAAGGTAAACACCTACATATGTTTATTGAAATTCAAGAATTTTTTACATATCGATTTATCTTGCCATGAACAAGTGATAAAATGGTCAAGTTTTTCTGTTAAGTTTTTGTGGTCTGTGTATTGTTTGGAGATAAAGAAGCATTTAGTTTTCGTACATTTACGGTATCACTTAATTATTAAATTTTGTAGAGACGTCTTTTTATGATTGCTCAAAATACCTAGAGCCCGTAGAATTCGCCGGGTGCCCCAGCTAAGAGACTTTGAGAGGGGTCGAATTGTCGGGTTGCGTGAAGCCAGTCTATCGATAAGAGAAGTTTTTAGGAGGACCAACAGATTCGTACGCAGTATACTGCAGTGTGAACGAGCGTGAACTCAGGAAGGCCAAGGACAGCGAGAAAGGGATTCTCGATGTCCCAGAGGGACCAAAGAGCGACAACACCACCGGTTAAGACTTCTGGCTCTGAGAGACAGATTGAGTAGTACTCGTACTCAAGCCATCGCTAATCACTGCTTTGAAGACCGTGGAAGGATGGTATGTGTATGGTATATTGCCGAATACGACAGTTTAGCATTTTTTCTTATCGCCCACATTATCCATACGTTAGTTTGTTAGTTAGTTATCAATTATAAATTAATCGTTGTCATACTGAATGACAAAAAAAGGTAAACACCGATTGGATGCTACCTCTCACAGCTGAACATCGGCGTAACCGTTTGCTCTGGTCTAGAGAAAGAATTCTATGGGACCGGTAATGGAATCAGGTGGTCTTTAGTGACGAATCCCGCTTCTGTCTGGGGATGCACGGTCGTCGGGCAACGTGACCCACAATTTGACAGAGAGCATCACGTTCACCACACCGTGGGTGTTATGGTATGGGGTGCTATTTCTATTGCTTATGGTAAGAACTGAACATGTCTGGGACATGATAGGTCGCAGGCTCTTAAATTTGCAAGACCCTCCACAGCCCTAAGCAGCTCTTACTCACGAAGTTGCAGTAGCCTGAAATATGATACCCCAACAGGATATCGACCAGCATATCAGCACGATGCCCAAGTGTCTTAATGAGTGTATAAGAAATCGTGGATCCTCAACACATTATTGAAGCAGCTTCTGCAGCTAGTTGATCAATCAAGCTGAAAATTTAGTCATTTTACTTGTAAGGGACACAGAAAATACATATATGCCAAAAATTATTAAAATCGGATAAACGTACAAAAATCTGCAATCGAAGTTGCACATACCTCCTTCATCTTCTCACCTCCCAAAATACTGAAAATACTGAAAATAGATGTGATGTTCCATTTCTTTATTTAATTTTATACTATTCAGTCTACATTACTCATGTTCCCTGAAAAATAAATACGAACATTAAAAAAACAAACCGATTGTGATTGCACACAGTTTGGAAAATCTGCTTTCTTTTCTGGTTACTAAGTTTAGCGCTCTTACACTCATTTTCAAACTTGTGACCGAACAATAATCCATTCCAACCTCTGTTAGAATCAGTATAGTAGTTACTCATATTGCACAATGTCAAGGAAACCAGAACGACAGGTGGGTTATCGCCAATGGGTGGAACGCTAAAGCGCTCTATTTTACAAGCCTATTTTCCAGAAAATGCTATTTATCATATATCGTCTAGACAGAAAAAGTAATAATATGTATTACCCTGTATAAACTCAATTACTCTATGACATGCCAACTAGGCATTACTCTGTTGAAATCAATAAAATTAAAAGTAGGGAACCCATTCAGGTGAACCATCCACCTGTAACCTTTCTTCCCTTTATTTGGATATCTTGGTCGCCTCTAGGCAGTAAATCAAAAACAAAAAAAAAACTATTGTATACCGGAATGTGTGTGGGTGTATCTATCCCAACGACGATGAAAAGACCTAGACATTTACATTCATTCATAAAACGTCTATCTGAACGTTGACAAGATAAACAACAGAAAACTATATACAGCTGGAGGAAAATGGCGGACAGTCGTCAACTGCCATGGGCGTATCATAATCGGGGTAATAGAGCTATAGCTAGAAATCGATTTTTGTGGAGTTTTTGGGCACTTCAATGAATGTAAAAGTATTATGCATAATGGAATGGAATAATTTGTCACTCAAATAAATTGTTTATGCTAATTATGAATATGCAAGCCGAAATATAGCGTCGAAGTACAATTAAATATAAGTGTACATAAACACAACAAGAAACGGTCAAAACTAGGACTATGAATCAAACCGGACGTCACATGCACTCAGACCAATCATGATAGTGTCGCCAGCGACAGACGAGGCTCTGAAAACTGATGAGCTTTATACATTTATTAACCCGACTGCCTCAGGAGGAATATGTTTCACATGTTTTTTGGTTTGTATGTATATATCCAAAAATTCTGTTTCACGGGCTCAAATGCTTGTTGGATTTTGGTATTCGGATTCGTCCTAGCAGTATGAGTGATACTGGGTATATTAAAATTTCATTGAAACAAAATGGCGAATATTAATAAAATAATCAACCTTGAAATTCATATTTCCAAGGCTGCAGCTTGAACGGTTTGATGGATTTTGACAGAGGTGCCTCTAGATTAGAGACGGTATACTTGACCAATGTGTTTCCAATATTTACTTAAAAATTAGAGTTGGATTGAACAGTTTTGATCGCCATCCATTTTAATAAGATATTTTTTTAAAACAAATCAAACAGTGAAATGGGAACACTTTTTATTTTGACATTTTCACAAAATCATAAATTACAAGAGTTGCTTCAAGCAGCTACTTCACACTCGCCAATTTAACAATGGGTACAAAATCATCATAGGCCATTCCTTGTATAATAGTAAAGAACAGTATAAGAAAAAACACTCTAAATCTTATTAGTACTACTTTGCCAGTATTATAAAGCGAATGTCAGACGTTCATTTCATACTCTGATCCGTTAGTATTTTCCAAGGAATGTGGTCGTATTCATTGAACGTCTAGCCTAGCGTATTGATGCCATGTTTTATTGTTGCATAAGGTTATGTGGAAATTCAATCATTCCATCGATCCGGAAGGAAATCTATCAGTAAATACTGACGTACGGATCACAGTATGGAATGAACGTCTGACATTCATCTACGAGGTCTCAGTTATAGCATAATTAAAGGAAAATATGCGAGTTATATATATATATATATATATATATATATATATATATATATATATACAGGGTGACTTTGAAGTTGAGTCATTAATTTTCAGATAATGATTGTAGAAGGAAGATAAACCAAAATATGTGTGTAAAAATAAAAAAAAATAAAAAAAAATGTTACCTTGTTTAATAAAGTATCCTCCCGACAAGTATTTCAGTGCGGACCTGTATTTGATCGTGCGGTCTTGGGGCACCGGCATGCTCTCACCTGTGAGGCCTTAAGTCACCTGATTCACGAGCCCTTTGTACTACATTAACAAAGGCACGAGGGGTTGGTTGCACTCGATTGGGAAACCGATTCGCATAAATCCGTGATGCATCCGGCAGTATTTTGTAAAGACTGCCCCCCCGTAAATAAGAATCATGTCCACAAGTTCAGCATTTTCGTAAACATGTGCCATTTTTCATTTCGTTTGAGTTACGCAACAAACATCACTATTCACCCACGCGTTATCGACTGAAGAAAAACAACGTGATAAACTTTTCAAATTCTTTCGCTTTTTTGTTTCCGATGCGATGAACCGATATCCGTTGTTGCCAAACACATAATATTATTATTGAGACAGGGCGGTACTCAAACTTCTAAAGGGCTATAACTTTGTTACTTTAATTTTACCAGAAAAATGTTAAAGGAAAAAAACATTTCTTTTGATCAGATCTACTCACTGTTAAAATAAATGACTCAACTTCGAAGTCACCCTGTATATATAAAGGTAACTTTATATAAAATCTAATTACATATAATATAATCAAAAATATATACATCAACACATTAAGCATAATTGTAAATAATTCATTCAATCTTGGGGTGTTACCTAAAGTGTTGTAGTAATCGTGTTGAGAAATTTGTATAGCAAATTAATTTTATAAGATAGCTTATGTATCCATTTATAACATGAAATACGAAAAAAAAACAATACATGCAGTCGGGATATTTCCATTTTACTGTGTATTGGTAGAAATTGCGGAATCTTGAATTATTTCAATTACATGCGAAACAGCTGAAATGTAGTCGACCTATACATACATGATCAGTGTCGCCAGAAAATTAAAAATCTACTAATTAGCTATGCATTTTGGGAAAAACAAAGCTTGAACTTCTGCCACCTACAGGTCTACAAAAATGTACATAATTTAAAAATACTTCTCAACCTTAGAATCATATCATAGAATCCAAAAAATTACGAGAGATACAACAAAGAAAAAAATCTTACTGATGGCTGAATAATACTGCCTTCGTATATACACTTCTAATTCTGTTTTTTTTTAAACTGTCCGATTTTTTCACAGTTTCGTGATGAATTCTGAGTGAGAAATACTTTTTCAAAATCAGTTTTATCAGAAATATGCAGTGCCCATCAATAGGGTCATCTTCAAGAAGGTGGTGTTCAAAATACCCCAAAATATGTGGTGATATTGATTGTATGGTATTATTGACTAGAATATCCGAGAGATGTTTGATATTTTTGTTAAAGATATTAGTTGTCTTTTGGAAGAAACGAAAGTATTTTTCACCATGGCGGCAAATTTGAATAACTGGTCCTGAGGCTTTTGTCAATTCTCCATAAACTTTTCTTTTTTGCAATGGCATGTCAATATCGCCCTCTAAAGAATTCTTACAATTTATACAAGTAACACATTTTTTTAAACAATTCACCACAAACCCTGCAATGTATGAAACAACATCTTCTGTATAAATTGTAAGATTCCATGCAAAAGGTGTGCACTGGTAAAGGGCAAGATCGTTTTTTATTTTTTCTTCAAACTGAAGTAATTCTGGGCTATTTAAAAGATCTTCACCATCGTCCGCCCTGGTTATATGATATCCACTGCCACAAGATAAGATAGTCAAACGCTCTGGGTTATCAACATTTCCTGTGTCTGGGCCAGATATCTCTGTATGCACCAGCAATCGTTTGTATGCAGCTTCAAACTGCCTTGCACTGGGATTATTGTTGTACCCTCCCTTACTACGAATAGCTCCAAAAAAAAGCTCTAAATGATCCTGTGATAATTTATTTGTCAAAATATATTTTAAAACTTTCTTTTCTACAATACACAAGTTATAAAACTGTTTCAAGCTCTGAATGCAAATCAAAAATCCTAAAAAACCAGTTTTTTTTGGAGAATATATTATTGGGAGAGTACCTAGTCGCAATCCATGGATATATTGAACTGCCTCGTCCATGAATTTGAAAAATGTATCTGCAGTAGCTGGAGAAAGTGGGCGCTTAAATAAGTACTTTGAAAACCTGTTTCTAGAGTTGAAAATATCAAAAATATCGTTAAATGTTTGAACAAATTTTACGGTACCTTCCACATTAGCAAACGTCGCTAGTTTTAAATCTTTGGATAAATAGGTCAAAGCATCAGCAACACTTCTACTTAAAGTTTGTGTAGCTATTTTGACCCTCATTTTTCTCTCGTCCACTGTAGATGACGATTTCTTATTTTTGTGCCTAAATGTAAACCTTCGATATTTTGCACATCAACTAACTTCACCAAATAATCCCAACTTATCTGATTGTTTTCAGAATCACCTAAGTATTTGATGGAACCAAAAGCGTTTCTGACTAATTTTATCATGTGGCTTGGGTCTAGGAATATGTATACATTTTGACGCGTTATAGGATGGAGAAAATAAGTCTTCAAGTTTGTTACATCGTTCAGATTTGTCCCTAGACAAGAAGCCATTGTGAAATTTACTGGAGCACCATCGAATGTTAATGATGCTACAGTAACTCCAGAAGTGTGGATGAAGGTTAGGCATTTTTTCACGAGTTCTGCCTTTTCATAACCAGTCAAGCCATCCAACAGAAAGTAACCCACCGGAATTTTCCATGCTCCATTCAAGCATACTAACATAAAAACCAACACCTCCTTTGCTTCTGGTAGAACGTCTGATTCTATGTTAGCCCCAATATCAACATACCCCGTGAACTTACTCCCTGTCCATTCAACTTGTTTCCGAATAGACATCTCATCTAGGACTAAATTACACATAACAGTAGAGTTTTTGGTTGAAGCTTCTCCTTGTTTTAATTTCAAGGCCACAATGGATTCCTCAGTGAAGCCTGGTGAACCATCAATCGACTTATACCATTTGCTTATTGTTGACAGATGGGGTAGAGCAAGGTTAAATGTCTTCCTCACAAAATTGTATGCTCTTGGGGAATAAAAGCTCAGCGTGAGGGCAAATGACCGCAAGGCAGGGTTATATTTCTGGCTAGTACGCCCCCTCAACATTCTTTCAAAGATTTCCAAAGGCATACCAGAAAGAGATGCCTAAAAGAGATATTAAGTATTTAGAATGCAATTAAATCATGTAATCTGAACAGAATGAGTATTTTAAAACTAGTATTAATTACATTTATGCAAGATAAATAACATCAGGAAACTAAGATATTAACACTGAACATACCCATACTCAATTCTATTTCTACCATAACCAGTCTCATGACCTGCTGTGGTTAGATGACGATATGTATACTTGTAACAAGTATTAGTCAAAATAAACAAAATACGAATAAAAAAAGAATATCAAATGCTATAATTAAAAGAAAAAAATCATGGAGCTATATGTGCAAAAGTGATAAGATGATAATGCTTATTTTCAATGAGCAAGATGACAACTGGTCTTCTGACCAGTTATGGTATGTTGAGTGTTGTGTGTATGTTGTAATGAAAATTATTATATTGAAAAAAAAAGTTGATCAATTGCTCCATTCAAATGAATTCGGGTATCTGGGACACACAGTCTTCATCAATCTGCTTACCTTCAATACAGTTTCAGCTGAATCTGTTATGTGATTCTTCTGCTTCAAAAGTTTCAATAAGCCACTTAGAGTTTTTATTCTTCTCCTCAAAGCAGCAACACTTGTTTGGAGACTTTTACTTTTTTCCTCAATGTCAATAGGGAACTTTTCATCAACCGATAATTTGACTTTGATTTTCTGGGAGTGGAAAAGTCATCACTTGATAAATCTCCAACATAACGTTTTAGCCTGAAAAGGATAAATGTGTCAACTATATACTTTATTCATTAAATAATATTATATATCATTTCATCTTGATACAAAATAGCTAGTAAGAAACAAGTTCTTGTCTCCCTCAAATACCTTCTTTTACGTGGTGTTCTGACATTTCGTTTGGTGACATTGCCTCTAATTGCCAATTGATACTCCTGTTCAGAAGCAGTTGCAGTACTGGATGATGTGAATGACTGCAAAATTTCTGGAGGCTCTACCATCTTAGAAGCTTCATCAGGAAAAGGAATATGACTTGAGCTAAAATATTTTCTACATGAGTAAATGAAATGGTTTAGATTAAGAGAATACTCACACCACATGGGAAGGCCCTGGTATAGCTAACTCTTCCATTCTCAATCTAAAATAAAAGGTATACATAAAATACTGGACATAACACATGTAAACAACCAAAATCCTTTGACATACACATGATACTATTTAGATAAGTTTTGACAATAATTGTTTGGTAATGTACTTGAATGTATGAATTGCATTTATTAAAGCACACTTGAAGCACACAGGCACTGACTTATTTTACTGTGCCAATCTGTTTATTTTGATAATAATATGTAGTATAAGCTTATTATATGAGAATAGTTCAAGTCCGTATAGAACTCTACTCACCGCTTTCTGACAGGGCTCCCTTGACTGCTATGGGCTTCTGAGCTTGATTCCTTTGATGGAGTAAGTGTCACTGTTGAATCAGAGCTGGAATAATAATGTTTGTTTAAGATACTTATGGATACAATAACAAAGTAAATATTTACAGGGCTAGAGTCTAGAGTAAAGTACAAGTATAATCTTGACACATTTTTAATTCTTCAAACTTTAGATAATAGAAATGCTGAGTAAATATTAATCAATATGAATATATAGGGCAAATGTATCTGTATGCTATTAATAGCATGTCAAAAAAACTCAAAAAAGTAACAAACATATTTACCTTGCATACTCCTGCTCATCATGTATGGAGCGAACATCTACTGGTTCAGCACCATCCTTCAAAAGCCTTCTTCCAGCAGAATCATATTCAAAGTCCCTATCATGAAAATGTTTGCTGCATATCAGTGCCACTTTCGGCAACGTTTTCTCCCAGTCAATGCCAAGCAGTGAAATCCATAAAATGCGCTTTGCTGGGTCAGATGGGAGTCTAAAATTGTAAACACATGTCTTACACCAATGATCTGTCTAATGATTATAAACTAGTTAGCACAAAAATATAATCAAATCATGGCAAAATCACGTTTACTTAAGTTGCATGAAGATTGTGTATGTGGATATTTTTGTACTTGATGAACTACACCCAGAACATCTTTAAATTGTATCATACTGCTAGTGATGGATATATATTCATATAAACTCGTCAGGAAGCTACAAAAAGTTACTAAAATGATGGTAAAAGACTGTTTTATGATAATTTTTTCAGTAAAATTTGTATTGCCACGCCTATGATATGAAAACATAACCTTACTTACCGATGGAATGATAAATTGGCCGATTCTGGATTACTGCTGTTTATCTTGCACACATAACACGATCGCACCATTGTTCAACAGGTAACAGTTCAATATCACTAACAAACTTATGTCAAATAGCACAAAAATAATGATTTGTGAAAATCCACAACTCAAGCATAAAATACGCACTTTATAGTATCGTAAAATGTCCATTCATAAGAAAAATGCGACGTTGCCAATGTCGACTGAAGCTCTGTGACTGAAGGAAATCTCTTTCCAATTCGCTAACGGTAAATTCAATACGAAAATAGTTCACTTTTCTACTTTTCACTATTGCTTATGCAGATTTTCAAGAATGTTAACAATTTTATTATTTTCATGAGTCCAAATAGCTGGTTTACACGATGAAATATTTGTTTGAGGTTTGTTTACTACCAGGTTAGGAATTCTATCAGCTAGTAACTGGCAACATTGCAATTCCCTAATATTTATCCTTTCAACGCGTTTTAGTGTAAATAGAAAGGTCTAGGTCTTTTCATCGTCGTTGATCTATCCAGTTGAAGGGTGGATGTAAAGGTGGACATACACGCTAATAATATACTCAGCAGACTGGTTAACTAACTATTATGGATATTCAGATTCATGATTCCGCCACAATATGATCTGTATGAATATTTTGGTGAACAAATCATAATCAACTGTCTCTACCCAAACTCTGCCTTTAAACGACGCGAATCCGTACCTAAAATCTCCCAGCGTTTGAGAAGATTCATTCCATCCGGGGCCTTTGATTTCTTACCTTTCGTCTTTCACTCATACGCAATTGGTCTATCAAATGCTCAAGTTGATGATTCCATTATTACCAACGGCAGATGATATATCAATTTTCCTATTTTTAAATCTTCAGAACACAAGACTTAAAAATACGAAATATACACACTCCTTAACGTGTTTTGAATGGTGCTCCAAGTAAAATTCTTCTAAGAATTCTAGGTTGCTACGCTCAAAACTCTTACTGTTATTGTAACCTGTTTATCGCATGTCCCTTCGGTAAACATTACCGTGTATGCTTAGCTTTTGCTTAGAGTGATCCATCAGACGGCGGTAAAGGACATCAAAGAAATAAACCGGCAATAAATTATACTCGATACAAGAGGGACGCACTACCTAAAGACAGGTCGCAGGACGACGTGTTTCTGCTCCCCTGATTACTCATTGCCGACGGTCGGTTTAATAACTGGTCAGTAAGATTCCCAAACAGAGATTGAGAGATGAATTTTTCTATGGTAGGTCAAATATATTTGGTATTCAATAGACAAGCCAAAAATTGAAATGATTATGGAGCATATATATACCTATATTATATATCGAAGAAGTCGCACAGGCAGAAGCCTAAATGCCGAAACACCGCGGCTGCTATGATGATCCCAAAGAAATTTTGTTAATACGATTTTTGAACTGACTAAGGTTAGTAGAACTGGGAAAAGCTTCCTCTTGTAGATTGTTCCACAGTCTCAAAACTCTCGAGACAAAGGGGCGGTCGTATCGCCCAGTTCTGGATGAAAGAAGCTCGACACGGTTAGGATGGGACGTCAAAGTTAGGCGGGTATATCTGGCAGGCACATCGCGCGGCGGCATCATGGAAGAGAGCTCCGAGGAGCAAAGCCCGTTGGTGTAGCGGCAGAAAAGAACTAGATTGCCGAAGGCCCGCCGGTGCATAGTGTATAGTATAAAATAATAAAAACAAACAGTCAATTCCATGCAATTAAAACAAAAATAATATCCTTTAAAATACAAACAGGTAATAAATCAATTTAGAATTCTCAAAAAAAAAACAGTTTCTGTATAAATCCATAAACAAAAGTAACAAATAAACAAACACATTCTTATAAAAATCTAATACGGGCCACGTAGCAGGCTGAAAAAATGACATATTGTTATTCAAAATAGATTTCCTGTATACAGTGAAAATGTTTCTGTACTATACGAGTACACTGAAAAAAACCTCCGTCCTATTGCCCAAGTTGGGAATATCATTTCAAAGCGAACTCTGACTAAGTTTTTCAAAAAGTTTTGTGAAAACAGATTAGCTACAGTTTGCTTGCAGTGACAAAAAGCACAACCGGAAAATGAACAAAAAATCAGGCCGAATTTTTTTCTTAGGATGTGATTGGAGGTAATAATAGCCAGCCTTCTAAATGCTAAATCCACTAAACCTAAGAGTCAAATAGAAAAATACGACTTTTTTTTCTAGCTACTGTCAACTCTTTGTAAGCCAAAAACACAAAATACAGCTTTTGTCTTTGAGGTGCCGCGCCGCCGACTGCATAAGCGTACCCGCTGGTTGTTCCACTTCCACATTCATAAGAAAAAATTACATGGATTACTCTTAATACCTATTGAAATTTACTACTACTACTACAAAATGGGCCAGGGGGGCAAGGCGAACCAATTGTACGATACACGGGATCACAAACATTTCTACTTTTCGCTCATGCGTTTGCGGGCTGCGACACTACTAGCTGCTTTTTTGGGAAAGGGAAGATGAAGCTGTTGAACTTGCTGATGCAGAGTATGCCGCGGAAACTCGCACAACAACTCAAAGAGATGGACTGCTACAGAACACCATGATAGCGAAACTCCGACGACTACAGATGCATGTGAGGAGGACGGTGGGCAAACTACCGTGGAACCCGATAATGATGACTTAACAGAAGATGATGAGACCTCATCAAGCGGCCAAGATGCAACGACCGACGACGACGAAATTAACGAAGATGACGTCGGCTACGACTTTAATGACTTTGATCTTCAATGATTTATCCTACTTGTAATAGATTGGGGTGGATATAACAATGAGATGTATATACTTTCAATTCCACTTACATGCTATTGTAGGTTTCATTGGCTCAAGTGAGGGTTTTTGTACACCTTATGTATGAAATATAAAGTAACAAATGTAATAGAAACATATTTGAACACAAAAATAATTTGTTATACCTACTCTATCAAAATAGAAAATATAAAAAATGTATGCAACTTCCAATTAATGGTTTGTACATAATTTCTTATCTCGACTGAAATATAAGGGAATAATGTTTAATTTCAACTCTGAAATGTACACGCACATACTTATAGTCCTTCCATTATCAATATGTAATTGGAAACGTAAAAAATCCCTGAACCCCACAAAAATGGTGTGAGATCATGTGCAGATAAGTTGTACAGCAGAGCATACTGCCGTGTCTACACGTCAAGCTAGCTAGGACTAGACCAATGAGCATTACTATTGGTTTCCTCAGCTAGTGGGCAGAGAAGACATCGTCAAATGCTCATCGCCATCGGCCATTGTCTATTTTTTACATATTTGCGTTGGCGTAGGTCAGACCAACGTATAGACGTGGCTCAAGAACTGCTAAATCTCTTATCATGGTCGTAGATTAACAACTACCGGTGATCAAACTGATTTGCGAGGATAATTATGAAAATAACGTGGAGCCTCGAAAACGAGTCTTTTGATGACTCATTGGGCTTCTACATCCTGTAATGTATTCTTATCATTGCCACTCACTTATATACACGTTCACACCTTTTTTGCAATTAAAATATTATACCTCACTTATCCCGTCAATCGGTAAGCGGCTGAAGAGAAATTGCTGCATCTGGAACTCTACTTAAACGCATAAATTTCAAAAATTCATTAATATGCATAAGTCGGTGAACGTCACAACTACAAACGAGCTTATTATTCGAAATCGACTGGCCTATCACCGAGAGTGAGACACTGAGGACCCGACATAAAAGAGAATCGTCCCCTTCAACGGTGCGGCAGCTGGTGATATGTGTACGCGCGACCGTGTCCCCGCAAACCCCTCGCCAACAAGCCATCAGCAAGCTGTAGCGCGAAAACTAAGCAATTTAGCAAAAAATTTGCAGATACCTTTTTTGATTACCCAAAAATTAGAAAAATATCAGTGTAAAAAAATCCCAGATATCCTCAGCCGTTTCAGCGAAAAAGAGGTTTTTTGGGTTTTTGGCTGTTTTACAAAAAACGGCTGGTTTCCGGAAAACCAAATTGATACAACAATATTCGCAATCCTTTATAACACCATTACGCCAACGGACATAACTTTATGGCTATGTTATCACTTTTGTCTCAGTTTCGGCTATTTAACTGGACTAATACAATGCATTCTTATTAAATAAATACCTGACATATTGAGTTGTTGTTATTTCATTGAAGAACATCAACGCATGATAAATACATGAATACATTATATTGTAATGTCGTAAAATTTTTTCATCAACTGAGTGAAGGCGATCAAAGAAATGTTAATTTTTCGACAGATCTGTGCAGTCTTCTGGAAATTTTCAAATTTCATATTAAAGATAACGATAGCTGAAGATACACAACGTACAAATTGGATACACTCACAATGATAGCTGCCATAGATTCGAATTGAGAATGCCAACCACCTGAATGGGGTGAGGCTTGCTCAACACAATGCCTGTGATAGAAAGTCACACCTCTGTGATTTATATATATATATATATATATATATATATATATATGTATATAGCATGACAGGGCAAGCTCGATTGTGCGTTCAGGAATTCTTCTTATAATTTGCGTCCGAATATTCGACAACATCCACACAAGACAAAATAGAAATGGCTGCTGGTGAAAGAAGGAATTTTTTTTGCACACATATTTTCAAATTTAAAAGATAAAGGTCTTATCAGTACAAATGACTTACAATCAGTTAGAATATATACTCAAGGAATGTATGGGTAACAAATGGTCAATAAATGTTGATAGGTCTGCCGGATTTGGAAAAACAGTACTGGAGAAAATAATTATTAATTAAAGGAATAATAAGTATTTCGAAAATTACATACACACCTCTATTTGACCACACCTAATCTATTATTTTTTGAGAATTATGATACACGTATTATACATGACGGAAAAAAATTAAATTAGAAATTAATTTTAAGGTTTATTACATTATACATATATACGTACATTTTCAAAAATCAAATAAAAGTAAAAGTGTTTCTTTTCTTCTAAAAGCTTGCCCCTCTTCCGTTGTGCCCTTTCTTTCAAGTGGTCAACCCTTTTCATCACATCGTCCATTTGCCGTTTCCTCCTATTATACTTTCTTTGAAAGCATTGATACCAGTTTGACTGTTCGGCTGCTTGGTGGTGGTTTTCTTAGTTCTTTCAATTACGTGCTTCATCTGGTTTAACGATTTTGAAGGCGAGATGTGAGCCTTCACTGCTGGAAGCGGTGTTGTTGTGGGATTATCCATTGTATTTTCCAACATAGCAGCTTCAGCAGGTCTAATTTGAATGAACTCCTGGAGTTCTATGTCAATTGTCATCTGAGTCAGTTGAATTCCGTCACCTTCCAGGTCAGCTATAATTGCATCCAAATCATTATGGAGGACTGCAATGTCATCTAGATTATTCGCGGTTGCTTGCATAATGATATTGATTATGGGGATAAAATATGCTGGTACTAACAGACTCAACTAGTGTAACGTAGCAGGTGCGACTGAATTTATGTTGAATCCTAATACACACACATATAAGGGGGGAGGGGGTGAATTCAAACAGGAGAACGATCAATCGGTAGGTTAGAGTTTAGAGGCGTTTTATGATTAGTAAATATACGGCGTGGCCTAACCTCTTGTATGCATGCTAACCCATAAGGATACGTAAAGGCAGGTAGATTTAACGTTTTTATATTGCCCTTGTGGACAGGTAAACAGGTCTCTGAATCTGAAACGAAAGATAACAGTGGAGCGAGAGTGAAGTGGGTATGGTATGTTCAGGGGTTTTGAATGAATGTAAAAATCAATGTGTCTAGGTTAGTTTATTAAAACAAGATTTACAGAATTTGTATTTTTTTTATTGATACAACCATTTCGAACATATAGCGACTACGTAAATATAACACAAAACATAAAACTGAGAGACCAACAGAAAAGGATTACAATACATCATTAATATCTATCCAAGAGTTTTTATAATGTGGAAATTCCAACCATTTAACTAACAGCTTGTTGCCCCTTCTCCTAATCACCTTTTCGATCAAGTACATACTCATTTGGAAATTTTGTTTTTCTTAGTTCCTTCTCGTAGAAACAGCCTTTTATTGGACAACCTTCCACGTCTTCTAACATATATGTAACTGGATTTGAAATGTTGACTTTGTATATTTTAAACAACTCCGTTGAACAGTTCGATGTATAACCCTTTTTCAAAAAGACTTTTGTATTTGCTTACACTGACGATATCGCCAGGTTTAAGCTTCCCTTTTCCAGCTACTTTTGGATGATTGTACACATTCAGTCGTGTATGGAGGTCGACTCCGATGGGGTTTATACCTTCGATGTTTCCTATTGTTATATATATATATATATATATATATATATCAGTAACATCTGCTAAGATATTGATCCACCGGTAGCTCCCCCTGACTGAAAATTCAGTGAAAAGTAGGTGTTTTAGTGATCGGATAGCTCTCTCAACTATTGCTGCTTTTTTTGTACTGTATGTGGAATAATGATTAATCCCATACTTGTGCATCAGGGCGGAAAATTTGCTGTTGTAGAACTCCGATCCATTATCCGTTTGTAGGTTATTTGGGTGATGGGTAGCCGTTTGTAAAATATCTTCCATTGCAATAGTTATGGTTACCATATCTTTCCTTTTAATTGGCCTGCACCACATGAACTTAGAATAGCAATTGATTACTACTAATATGTATCTATATCCGTCATTATCTTCACTGAAAGATTGCATTTCAGCCAAATCAGCTTGCCACAAGTCAGCGATACCCTTTATGATAGCTCCTCGGCGGGAGAAATTCCTTCGAGCCGCCATATGTAGCTCCTTGGCTATACCACGTTTTGTTTCGCTTACGATAGACATATTCACTACTATGAATACCTTGATGGAATGAGTTTGTATTTGCAGGTATCTAGTTTATTTAGATGGAAGTGATAGGTTTAAAATCGTACTCAACTCGTTAAACTTTTTGTCAAAGTCACGTTTACTTTCCAGCACCTTATCGTTGCAGTAGTTCACTGAATGACTTAATAAATTGGAAACTGCTAGTCGCATCAATTTACCATTTCGGTTGCAAATTTATTCATGGTTTCTTCAATATACTGTACAGTCACAGCATCGTTTTTGTCCACAGGATCACCAACATTCATCATCAGTTTTTTTTTCAATATCGTAGTCACCATTAGTAGTTGAAGCCAATGCCAGGTATACCACGTACGATATGCCATTTTGACGCGCGTCGTCCAAATTTGTCAACGGCGCCATCACGCTGCATTGAAGGCATATTTGTAAGTGGTGTGATATACCCTAGGTTGACAAATAAAAATATATGCGAATCAACGTATAACACCCTCTTCACGCAATTCTTCTATTATTGATATCATTTCATTATCGTGGTTTGTATGCCCAGCCATTTTTGAGCTATATAGCAGCCTCAGTCTATCAATTAACTCATTGATATTATTCCAATATTCATATTACTTATCGTTATATATTTTATGTTTGGGTGCTTTCAAATATATACCCGGACCCACTGATGATCTCAGGCGTCTGGGCGATGATGTCGATATGATATTCAGTAATTTAGCGAAATATTCAGTTCCATCGTTTCTGCAGTAATATGTAGAACAATATGCTTTACGAAATACATTAGTTTTAATCATTATATTTTTGAATGTGTTCAAGTTTCGGGAGTCTAAATTCTTTGTATCAGGCAGTTTGTCCAAAAATATCAAATCGAGTAATTCGGGAGACATTTTAAATTTTATTCTCTCCTTCTTCTTCTCAGAATCCAATAGCAGGTAACGTCCACCAATATCAAAGCTCACTTGGAGTTTGCCTAATAATAACTTGTCCGACTGTGGATTTATTCTCACATTGTATATGCCTCCATACCCTGGATTGTTTGCTTTCAAATTAGATATATGGTCATTTATCAAGTTGGTCAAAGATTCGGATGCTTCACTATGATTTGAAGTAGACATGTATCTACTCATTGAATTTTCTTCATGCCCTCCGAGTAATGAATGTGTGTCAGATTGGGTTTGCATCGGGGCAATAGTAGAAAGTTTAGTATTAGTCAAGTCACCAAATGATGCGTTTCCTGATTTATCTGATTCCATAGATTGTGCCCTAGGTGTGCTTGTAGTCGGTGGCAAGATCTGCTCAAATGTATGGTCATTGAATTCACTACTGTTCTCAAGCAACTCAGTTTTTCTTACACCTGATTTTGTCGCCTCAAATAATATATTTATTGATTCATCAAATGATACTTTTTTTAGGATGCTTGGACTATCGATTTGGGATGTTGACTGTTTCGACAAGCTGGATGTAAATGCTTCCGCTATTGTTTTGAGCTGCTTAGTAATGGGCTGATATACCTGCTGCAATGCACTATCATGGAATTCACGTCCTTTCTTGATAGCAATAAATTTCTTCCGAACTGACTCTGCTGCATCTACTAATTCCTTCTTGAGTGCCACTTCGGTGTTATTCTGCTGCCGTTTCATTTTTCTATCTTTTAATCCACCGCGATGCGTACTAGATGTAGTCCCACGATTGATTGATGGTGTTTCCAATCTTCCTGTGGATCTATGAAACTATAAAACCCCTTCCGGTGACGACCACTTATCAGTTCGCTATCCTTATCGATGACTAAGAATCCGTATTTATCGCTCCAGCACATTGCACACATGTCTTGAAATTGCTTAAAGGTCATATCAGGTGCTACATGATCGGAGAAAACATGAGATAAATGTGTGTTATCCACCTTGAATAAGACAATTAGGTTAGCATTGTCTCTTATTACTCTTTTGGGCACCCAGGAGTAACTCTGCACACAATAGAAGCAATCCACACCTTTGTGCCTACCCATGCTGAAGTATTCTAGAATATAAGTCGGATTTTCTGTCATTACGTCATCAAAAATGAATATTGAATTCGGCTTGGCTTTCGATGGCGGTAAGATATCACCATTATTGTTAAATGCATAATAACCTAAACCATTGACCGAAGTTTAGTACCTTCTGTATAAATGGATATTTCGGTTGATTCAATGATTTTGAAAATATATAGACGTTTTCAAAGTAGACTCCATTCTCATGTAGCAGTAACGATATTAATACGTTGGTTTCTCCACACAGTTCGATGGTCCAACAATAATACAGCGGATTGTGGATGGGAGGAGACTTCCATGTCGCTGCATAGCATTGTTTTGTATATCCGCCACTTTTGTATCAATATTGCTGATACATAATTCTTGTTTCTGTTTTGTGGCCCTCATTGTACAACGAGTTGAGTATATATAAACTGCAATTGCGTATGTCTTATTTATTTAAATGCCACTACTTCGCATTAGAAGGTGTCAAAGCACTTCAAAAGCTGCTGGTGGTGGTTTTGTCGATACGCTGATAGATAAGTTACCTTTCGAAGTACACTTACCTTCTTACCAGTTCTGCGGCCCACGGACACGTCTTCAAAAAAGGATAGCCCTAGGTCAGAAAGGCTTTAATAAATTAGACGCTGCATGTTTACAGCATGATATTGCATATCAGAAATCTGATTTGACAGCGAGACACGTTGCTGATTATCAACTTGAGCAAGACGCTTGGAAAAGAGTCAAATCTCCAGACGCAAAACTTGGAGAAAAAGCTGCCGCTTGGTTAGTTACTAATATCATGTAAGTAAAACGTCACGCAGGAATGGGTCTAGCATCATGTCGTGGACGGAGTAGAAGAAAATACATCCGCTGAACATGAGGTATTATGAAAGTCAAACGTCTTATAGGTATGGGAGGACATGCATCACGGCGTGGACCTAAAGGAAGAAAAGCTATCCCTGGAAAATCAAGTAGATCACAGAAAAGGTACATTTTGGATCGGGGATAGTGAATAAAGTGTGCAAACACATGAAAAGGTTCTCAAACTGTAAACCAGACAAGAGAGTATTAGCAAAGGCGACTTCCGCTGCATTACTTGCTGCCCGGAAGCATATCAGATCCATCGGTAGAAAACGGCTGATTCAGCTTCCACGAGTTATACCTATTCCCAAGGTTGGAGACATCCTTCCTTTGATACCAATTTTTGCCGGTCTTTCAGCATTAGGTAGTCTAGCTGGGGTAGTGCCAAAATAACAAGAGCTGCTAAAACAGCACTTCACCACCTTCTTCTAATGTGAAACGAATTGGGGATGGTCTATTTCTGATACCATACCGTAAAGGATTGGGGTTATTCATCAAGTTAAGGAATTCAAAAAACTATTGAAAACCCTCCCCCCTCGACTGCTAACAAATATAGATCTAATCTATTATGCTAGGAAGCTAAAAATACCATATTTCAAAGGAGTATTTATGCGGGATGAAATGTCCGAGCAGGGTCCGCTGAAGAATGAATCAGTCATAATTAATTTAGATAACAAGAGTGGGGATGGGTCACATTGGGTTTCATATATAAAACGTGGGATGGTTGTATGGTACTATGATAGTTTCGGCAATCTACGCCCACCCAAGGAGCTAATCAAATATTTGACCAACAAGTCGAAAAAGATATATAGATATAGTCGACAACAACAGTTCAATACGTTTTGGTCTGGTCACTTATGTCTGCGATTTCTATCTGAAGAAACATCAGAGCGCTGAAGACAATGGATCACGAGCGATTGAAAAAAAATAGATACTCTCTTAAAGCCCTTTCAAGGGAGAGAAGCCTGTTGAATATGACGCGAGATGAACTTGCACACATACCGAAAGAGGTACTTATATGCTGCACGCCAAATGAAATAGCACATGTATGGAACAAACCGCCGGATTATTTGAAGGAGGACGCTGATATACAGCGATTCCAATTCTGCTGGGAACACCATGGAATAAGCAGGAGTGATGATGAAGCAGATGGACCGCCACCAAGGAAAATATTTTGTTGTTACTGTAACATGCAAGATATCAATGTTAAAAATACATCTGAATCAAACTACTGTTGTAATCAATAAATATTTTTTTACCTATATTATATATACTTATATATATTTACTCTAACGGGTTACACTAGCAAACTGTCTGCTAATTTTTATCCTCCAATCGAGTTGGATATAAGTCCGGAATATGGTCTGGGGTTGATTGGCTTTTAGTCGTACAACACCATATACAATATTGATGATCATACATAATAAAATATCTCTTACTCACGAGGGTGACGAGAGTAATGTGGTAACCCTTCCTGAAGGTGTTTATGAAATCGAAGATATCAATAAATACATACAACATGAAATAATATCAATGAATGATGCATATAAAGAGAGATATGAAAGTTGATGAAATGTGCTCTTGGAAAGCCAACACTAATACTTTGAAGTGTGAACTCCATTCTGTATTCGATATTGCTCTGTCCAATTCCATGGCAACTATGCTTGGATTTAAGGAGCAAATTTTTCCCAGAAACAAAATCTACACATCGAATTTACCTGTAAACATAACTCCCATCAGGAATGTAAGAGTCGACTGTGGATTAATATCAGCTTATTGCAATGGCATTGAAATGCACACTTTGTATGAGTTTGATATAGACGTTGAACCAGGATTTAAATTAACATAGGAGCCTCAGAATGTAATATGTATGAGCGTTAAACCGCGTGGACGCCAGTTTATTGATAACATCACACTGGAAGTTTTGGATGACGGCGGGAATTTAGTCAATTTCCGTGCTGAAAAAATTATAGTCAAATTAGAACTGCGACACCTGTCTAGTGCCAGCTGAAGACAATGGGATTTCTATATAACCTAGATATATATCATTTGAAGAATGGAGAAAAAGGTCGCACAACTAATCATAAAAGACGAAAAACCAATGGAAATTCCGTTAATCGTCGTTCAACCATCGTCAAAGACACAGCATCGAATATTTCGCTGCAAAATCGCAAGTTCCTGGAGTCCATAGGGCTGAAACTAATCAAACAATATGGTTCTACACGTATCAAATGAGAAATTGGATGTTTTTGAGGAACCCATCATAGATCATTCCTTAGCCAGCCTGCAAGAATACACATACAAACCATATGGATCGCCATATTTCAAGAATTCAGATATAGTTCACATCCCTATAAACTTCCAAGATATTATTTTAAACATTGCCGACAGTTATATTTACGTTGAAGGAACTTTTACGCCTAGCGACGCTACGAAACCCTGCTGCTTATCAAACAATGCATTGGCCTTTTTATTTCAAGAAATTTTCCTACAGATGGGTGGCGAAAAAGTTTATGGAGTTCGGAATCCAGGGATAACTTTAACTATAAAAACGATGGTGTCACATGGTAAAAGTGCTATGCATACACTTTTATGTAGTGGTTGGACCTTAAGTGCCGAGAACTCAGCTATATGGGATGTCAAAAGCAAAGCTTTTAGTGGTAGGATACCCTTAAAACATATAATGGGATCTGCAGAAGACTACAAAAAGTAGTTCTAAATATAAAACATGAGCTTCTGTTGGTTATTGCAAGATCCTTCAAAAACTGTTATGTGAGTGAATGTGATGCTGAATTGACTACATCTGAGATTGATTGGAAGGTTCAACACATCGTTCTGGAAGATCGTTACAAAGTCAAGCTTCTGCAGGGGTTGAATAAACATGTGAGCTCAAGGATCAAGGTAGCATTTCGATCTTGGGATCTCTATGAGCTTCCATCTCTACATCATCGGATACTTGGGCAATTAGAACAACCAGTAAACTAGAGAGACCTCTTTTCGTTATCATTGGATTTCAAGATTCTACAGTTGAAGAAAATCATTCGATGGATATAACGAAATTCATAAATGCCAGCGTTAACTCGATTCGCTTGAAGTTGGAAGAACCAAGTGTTCCCATATGAAAGGAGGAACTTGAATTTCGAAAAAAAGCTCAACACTGCAGCATATTATGCATTTGAGAACTTTCAAAAAACATACTACAACCGGAACATTCCTGAACCTATGATGGATATTAAAGAATTTAATGTCAATCCGCTTTTCGTTATTGATTGCAGTCATCTACAACTTTCAACTGTCGACATATCTTTGGAATTTGAGACGAAGAGATCTGCATTTCCATTCCACACCAAGGTGTACGCATTAGTTATTCATGACTCATGTTTCAGTTACAATGCTTTTGCTGGTTCTATCCAAAATGGACTTAATCATTCCTATTAAATGTTTTTGTAAGTGTGAAATAAAACTCATTTTCTTACTCCATGTTGATTTTATTTACCTGTACAAGCTTGACGTAACCTAAATCTAATACTTAAAAACTTCCTCTAACATTAATTTTATTAATAAGTCTAAATTACCATTTTCAGGAAAAGTGCCGTCTGCAATATCATTGATTGCACCTATAGCATATTTAACATTAAACGAGGGGTCAGTCTGGTAAAACTCAATGTCAGAGTGTCCCCAAGGTAAAGTTTTTGTGGTGTTAGGAATAATAAACCTTTTATCATCACGACGTGCTAGAGCAACCATATTTTTCACCTTCGTGTACACATCATGTAGTTTGCTTTTAAAAGTGAAAAAGTCCCTTCTTTCACCAGCAGCCATTTCTATTTTGTCTTGTGTGGATGTTGTCGAATATTCGGACGCATGTTATGAGAAGAATTCCTGAACGCACAATCGAACTTGCCCTGTCATGCTATATATACATATATATATATATATATATATATATATATATCACAGAGGAGCGACTTTCTATCACAGGCATTGTATTGGGAAAGCCTCACCCCATTCAGGTGGTTGGCAATTCTCAATCCGAATTTATGGCAGCTATCATTGTTAGTGTATACAATTTGTACGTTGTGTATCTTCAGCTATCGTTGTCTTTAATGTGAAATTTGAAAATTTCCAGAAGGCTGCACACATCTGTCGGAAACTTAACATTCCTTTGATCGCCTTCTCTCAGTTGATGAAAAAATTTTAAGGCACTACAATATAATGTATTCATGTATTTATCATGCGTTGATGTCCTTTAATGAAATAACAAAAACTCAATATGTCAGGTATTTATTTAATAAGAATGCATTGTATAATCCTATAGTAAACTAAATAGATAGTGTTCAATCCTCATACACGAGGTTATATTTGAGGATAATTTCCGGAGGTAAATACCTCACAATCTCACACAGAAATGATCTAAGGTTATAATTAATCATATCACTACAAAACTGCTCAATAGTACAATCTTCTTGTAGATACTGCGCACACAACTTCTGCCCTTCCTCGTATTTGCGAATTAGTCTCCTGATCCTTTCAACCTCGTTATCATCCCAACAAATATTCATATCGTAGTTTGTTGAATGTTCAGCGTCATGCATCAAATCCGTTAACTGGCACACTAATCTCATGATAGCTGTTCGTAGATCCTTTGAATCAGGCCAACGCAATGATGCATAATGCATCCACATCTTGTCAAACCAAAGGGGGTGTACTGCTTCTGGAAAGATAAATATAATGGCCAATATCAAGTGGAACATGATATTTGTCAAAACAACTTTACCTGCTGCATTTTCCTAACCCAGTTCCAATCTGAACCTTTATATTACTTATACTCAACATATTTGCCTATACTACCTCATATTTGTTTAAACTAATTAATACTGTCAACAAAGTCAAACTTTATCAAACATTTTGAACGACTACCTGATGGTGTCTTTGATGAGCTTTGGCCAATATACGCTAAATAATATTTGTTTAGGGACTCATTTATATCTTTAATCATAATTTCGGGCATGTCTCCCAACACTCTTTTGGGTAGCCAAACCCTAAACTGGTCAGAATCAGAATCAAGAAGGGTTGCTACTAGGCATTTCCCAATTCTATCTGTTAGGTACTTCAAGAATATTATTTAGTCACTTATCGATGTTAAATGAATTTGAATGATCAAAGCTGTTGTTGTTGTTTCACCATTTATATAGTAACTAGCAGAGTTAGATTACCTTACAGCACCGCTGCATACCCTAAGACATTTGAACAACCCAACCCCCAGATAAATTTCGGGTGGGCCACAAAAAAAATATATAGTCAACATTTCAATTATTCTGCACCGAACAGCTGAGAGACTTTAGAATCGGCATGGCCATTGTGAGGACAACAATGCCTTAACACACCTTCCATCGACGACTCATTTTCTATTATAAACGCGTTTATGATCTCAGGACAGAAGCCCGAAAATGTTTTACAATTCTTGATAAGGGGACCGAACTGCTGTGTGGTTTTACAATTAGCAGGGTCATTGAGAGGGTAACAATGCCTTCCTCGATGCTATGAGGATGGTCATTGAGATGACTTGGAATTTAAACGCCCCCGTCCCTTACCTCACCGCCCCCTTCCCATTCCGCACTACCATGGGTGCCGTCGAGCTACTTACCTGAGCAGAGTTAGATTACGTTACTGCACAGGTGCATACATGAGGTCAGGTAGTCTACAAAAAATATACTGTCAACATTTCTATGATACCGAACCGATAATAGGTTATTGATCGGGGACGGAAGCGTCAAGAGGTTTTACAATTATAATGTTCATTGACAGGGCGAGAATGCGTTCCATCGAGCTATTTATACGATACAGATTTGTCGAACAACACGTTTGCGATGCTAACAGGGTTGTTATTTAGAGGAGTCGGAATTTAAACACCCCCCGCCCCTTACCCCACCGCACACGACGATTGAGAGGGCAAAGAATGGTCATATCATCGGATTAAGGTGTAGGGATGGCGAGATTGAAGTGGGAAAAGAGTGCTGCTGCTCGTTCGCCCGGTCGATGAGTTATAGTAGGGGGGGAGGGAGGTGGGGAGGGGGGACACGCCGTCGACTCATTTCTATTAAACAACACGTTTTCAATGCTATGCGGATGGTCATTGGGAGGACTCAGAATTTAAATACACGCCGTCCCTTACCCCACCACACAAACCACCCCTTCATCCCCCCCCCGGAAGGCAACGGAACCGGTGAATCAACAGTTTAAGTTTTGCATATGGAAATAAAGCAACACGGTAAGTAGTTTTAAATGACTTTCTTGTTTTTTGAAGTATTCTCCACGAAGATTAATACACATCTGTGCTCGAACCAATTTTCGACTTTTGTTGGCTTTTCTTCACCTTGGAACACCCAAACAGCCGACTGTTGTTTATTTTCTGGTTCATAACAGTAAATCCACGATTCATCACCACTAACAATGCTGTACACATTTTTTGAGTTTCCGGAATTGGAACGGTCAAGCGTTTTTTGACACCAATTAACCCTGGCTGCTTTCTGCTCTTCAGTCAACAGGTCTAACGAGAAACTAATTTTCTTACTCCTAATTCTTCAAGTCAATTTTTTTGAATTGAGGTCTTTGAGATCTTCAAGGACGCCTCAATCTCGCGATATGTCACATGTCTATCTTGAATGATAAGTTTGCGCACAGCATCGACGTTTTCCTGGGTGACTGTCGTTTTTGGTGCACCCACCCTGGGATCGTCGCTAAGACTCACCCGTCCACGTTTGAATTCTCCATACCAACGGGAAATTGTCGACTGATGTGCCGAAAACAGACAGTAACTCAGCAAGGCATTCTTGTTGCGATAATTGTCTCTGAAAGTTGCAATAAATTATGGCGCGAAAATGTTCTCGGTTGAGTTCCATTTTTCTAATGACTTGGTGACACTTAAAAATTCACTGTAGTCAGAACACTGCACGTATTGTTCTGAAACTTTGAATATAAGTTTACTAAAGAGTGAGGTTAAGATTCAGAACTGACGTTCGATCCGCGCGGCAACTATGTTTCTATATGCAAAACTTAAAAGACATTCCTAGTAGTAATTTCTGAATTTGGCTCGGTAGTCGGGCTTCCTTTGGCAAAATTTTGATTTTCGGATTTTGAAGGTGGGTCAGATGTGTCTAATATTTTATTTTGATCAAAATTGTATTGGTCGTATTGATTATCTGGTCTATGTTCGTCACAAAGTTGGCCTAAGTTACTTGTACTATAAGTATCATATGTTCTGTTTTCAACTGGCTCTGTTATCCAATTCCTCAAAGATAAAATTTTGCAGAGTCCGTGGTGCATTCACCGAAGCGAGACCGAATGACGGACGTATTATGTTTCTTGTGCTGGCACTCATCGGTGTCGGCCCGGGAAGATTTCTTGGATTTGAAGAATTTGGATTGAAAACATTTGTTTTTGAATTATTTCCTAGTTGATTGGCATTTGTCGCGAAACGCTGATGTAAGTTTGACCTAGATTCAACTTGGATGGACTGAGGTGGGAATTGCGCACAGAAAGAATTATTGGACGTACGATTGTCGAAGTTCTGATAACGCATATTGACTAGGGTGTGCTGGTCTAAAATGCAAATTTTGAAAATTTGAAAAATTTTTTAGGTTTGGGCTAAGTCCGTACGGAAAGGTTTGAAAATTATGCGCATTTTCTTCGTCAATCACCAGTTGAAGAGCTTCGTTCAAAGGGTTTGGTCTCATGCACCTGACAGTGGTGCCCAATGGTCCTTTAAAGCCTGAAGCTTTTAACTTGAGTTAGTCGATGTATGCTAGGCCAAAAACCTGCGCTATTGTCACACAAAGGATTGGATCAAAAATTTTCCAAAGTTCCCATTTCCCCCAGTTTGGTACAAAAAAGTCATATTCATGTTTTAGCTCATCTCCAGCATTGCCTTCTGATTTTGATTTCTATATCTTGCTTTTTTATCCAGGTTGTTGTAAAGAAATGAAGTTGATGGACTATGTGCATAGCCTTTTGTTGACAACAGCAATGAATTACCTGAGGCTTGTTCAGTTGGTGTCAAAAGTTCTGTTGGCAAATCTTCGTTCAATAGAGTGTCTTACGATAAGGATTATGCCATTGAATCATTGAGGGGACCAAAATTACCTAAGCATGCTGATAGAATTGATGGCATTATTGGGCCATATTTTTTCGTAGTAACGTAAAGTGTGCAATCATTGGAGGAAATGTACAATGAGTAGGATGGACTTCGTGAAAGAAACAAACAGGTCACTTCATAAAGTTACATTTTTTGTGAAAATTGTAAGAAAGGTGTGGTTATAATATCAGAACCAAACAATAACACGAAAAAAAAAACGTGAATTCTGCAGCAGTTTGGGGAGCATACCGACTGACATAATAGGTCGCCGTCAATATGGAGAATTTATGGCAATTTAGATGTTCCCTCTATGAACACTCGATCTTTTCGGACAGAAACTGAGAATGTCAAGAAGGTATGTTGTATATAGGATAGCTCATGGAGAACAAAAGGCAGTTATACAAAACAGTATATGTATTAGTTCATATGATACTTGCATAGATGTATGGCCAAATTTTTATATGCCACTTTAACAAAAGGTTCAATCCTTGAGGGGAACTTTGCTTTAGCTAACTAATAGCTACACGCATCCCAACTTCATGATTAGTCCTTACAACTGTGAACATTTTTATATTATTTATCTAAGGAGATAAGTATTCTCATTAGAGTAATGTACTTAATAATTTTCAAGATATGTACTCTGTACTTTTCACGTATTGTTCTTTAGTTTTTTTTAATTTTGGCGTAACATGAACAATATATCATTTAGGAATTAAATTTGAAAAGAAAAAAGCCAAGAACGTTTGCTAGGCTTCCTG